TCTCTCTCTCTCTCTCTCTCTCTCTCTCTCTCTCTCTCTCTCTCTCTCTCTCTCTCTCTCTATTTGGACAATGTTCCCAGCAGCATGTAATGAAAGACATGTGTTAAAAGCATTGTATCTTTTATTTTTTCATTACATGCAATATGTGATCTTTGACTATCATTTAATGTCAAAATCTCTATCACTCTCTATCCATGTGTGTGTTTTTTTAATTCATGCAATATGCTATCTACTCTCTTCTAATGCCAAAATCTCTGTCACTCTCTATCCATGTGTGTGCTTGATGTTTGGACTTGTAATACCCTAACACTATGTTACAATGTGAATTTAAGCAAAATACAAAAAAAGGAAAAAAGGAAAAAAAAAAAAAACAACAAGGCGAAGAACATAGTGTGCAAGATTGTGAGGCTCCTTTCCATATAGATCGATACTAAATAGGTTAGAAACTTGATTCCAAAGAGGTTGAAAATTCAATTGCATAAATGTAGGGATCTCGATTCTATGTGGATCGAATCTCGATTCCTATAAAATAGGAATCGCATTCGATGTGATTCCCCTTGTATAGACATTGATTCCTTAAACATGAATATTCTAGCCAGCTGCAATTCCATAATTTCGATTCCTAAAACAATTAAAAATCTCAGGCGCATCCAACAACTATGCTATCACCTTAGTTCAGCAAGTCTCCAATACCATGTAAACAGGAGAGAAATGAAAGAGAATAAGTTTCAACAAACCTAAGAATGAAGCACTCAAGGGTAAACATGACTTTGAGCCAAATGGAATAAATCTCTAGAGGACATGCAAATGATAATTAAGTATCTATAAAAAATAAAGGAGATACAAACCCTTACAACTAGAATAATGAACATACACAATCTAACAAATACCATACTCAGAAGACTTGCAAGAGACAACAACTCTATTTTTTCTTTACTTTTTTTTAAAAAAAATAGATAAGCAAAACCGCCAGTATTGAGAACAAAGAATATGCTAAACGAATGAAGAAAAAGCATTGTGGTACCTATTGACAAGAACAAAAGATACGAATTATCATGGGATGAAACTCACGACCACACTATGAAGTTGTGGAAGAGAGCAATTTAGCAACGACTACGACATGAAACGAGTGTATCACAAATCAGTTATGTTTTATGCCAAGGAGGTCAACAACTCTCCATTTTCCTACTTATGTAACTGAATGAAAAGTTTTGGGAGAAGGGAAACGGCCTCGACATGGCCTTCATTGTTTTAGAAAGCATATGATAGGTCCCTAGAGACGTAATTTGGTGGGAGTTGGACAACGAAATGAGTCTCCAGAGGCTATATTGACATGGTGAGAAATATGTACGAGGGAGCGCCAACTAGTGTGAGGACAACTGTAGAAAGATGAGTGAGCTTTCAGTGACAATAGCCCTACATCAGGGGTCAGCGTTGAGCCCCTATCTCTTAGGTTTGGTTATAGACGAGTTAACTAGGCACCTACAAGGTGAGGTAATGTGGTATATGTTCGTGGATGACATAGTTTTAATTGATGAGACTAGAGGTGGGGTCAATGCAGAATTAGAACTTTGGAGGGATGCTCTAGAATATGTAGATTTTAAAATTTGTCAGACTAAGACAAAATATATGGAATACAAGTTTAATAATAATAAAAGTAGAAACAGGTAAGATTGATGGCCAAGAATTACTTAAAAGGGATTATTTTTAATCTTAGGTCAATAATCGAAGAGAACGGAGAGATTGAGAAAGATGTCATGTATAGAATTAGAGTTCGGTGGACGAAGTCAAGATGTGCATCTGGAGTTTTATGTGATCGCCGAGTAATAATGAAACTAAAGGAGAAGTTATATAAAATAGTTGTAAGACCAGTCATGCTTTATAGGACAGAATGTTAGACGATCAAGTGTAGCTGAGATGAGGATGCTGAGATAGATGAGAGGCAAGACAATAAAGGATAAAATTCGAAATGAATATATTTGAGGGAATTTAAGTGTAGCTTCAATAGGTGATAAGATAAGGGAAAGTAGACTTAGGTGGGTTGGCCATGTGCAAGATAGGAACAGTACTGGTTAGGAAGTGGAATTTGGTTCAAGTGGAAGGCTCTAAAAGGTCAAGGAGAAGGCCCAAAAGAATATGGATGGAGGTAATGAGAAAAGAGATGGTGACTTATGGTCATATTAAGGGTATGACCCTTGATAGGGTATAATAGCGAAACAGTATTCATATAGCCGATCCCAAATAGTTGGGATAAAGCTCAGATGATGATGATGATGAGATAAGCGAAACACCCATATCAAAGAAGTGGTGCAGTGACAACTCACATAAATCAACATGAGTTGGAGTATAATTCTGTAACAAAAAAAAAAAACCCAAAGAGGTGCAGAAGCAAGATGAACTTAAGGACTCAATGAATTTCACAAATCCAGAATACTAGCCAAGCTAAGTTTCTTGAAGTAGCACACAAGTTGACTGAAGCAGGAAGTAGATGCAGCAAGATGGTCATCCATTTTCTTTTCAAGTGGCCAAGAGCTTTTGATTATTCACTATTAGCTTTTGAATGTTAGGGAGGTTGACTCAAAGGAGATGTCCTTGATCCAAGGTTGTTAATGAGGAAAATACAACAAAATAATGACCCCAAAAATATTCATTCATATAAGTGGTTACCCATCTGGAGTTGAAATTTACTATCTACATTCATACAACAGTAGAGTAAATGTTGAGCTACATTCATGCAAAGGAAGAAATTAATACAGATAAGAATCCACATCAACATAGTCATGACTAAGGAGGAGGCAATATGGAGAAGCTCTATAAATGGATAAAGAATCCCAATATTCAAAATAAAAGCAAGAATAGTTACACCTTTAAATGTCAGAGACAGGATGCACCAATATAACAATTGAATACAGCAGACATAAAGGTATAAGATAGATTAACAAGATCAAATAGAACAAGTCACTATCAGCACGGGTTCGAATCCCAGCTTACCACCAAAAAAAACTTGTACAGAAAGAATAATCGGTCAATGTAATACCTTTCACCCAACTCCCAAGAAGCGTGTTCACAAGGTGAATTATCCCTCTGATCTTTCTGTTTGGCGCCCTTTCCCATAGATCAAACCAGTTTTCTGAATAAAACCCATAAAGCAGCCAACAATTTTTAACAAAAGTGCAGAAATTGAACATGAAATCACCACAAAATAAATTCTAATTTTTGCTATACCTGAGGGTCTGGAATTGGTTTTCGTTTCTCAACATATCGATAAGGATCTGAACTTGCAGCAAGCGCTGCTCTCTCCTATAACAATCAATAAGTGAAACATCACAGACATTACATCAAGTCAACTGAAAGAAAACAAATGACACAAATCACTTCAAAATATGAAACCTAAGTGGGCAATGCATAACTTCATTAATACTTCATAAACATCAGAAGTAAAAGATATTGAAGTAAAACAACTAAATAGGTTTTCACTTCTTTCGTCGCATAAGTCCAAAAGTTCATGATAGTTGGACATGAAATAAGAAATTAAGAATCCCCAAAAATTATATAAGATGAATTGGAAAAAAACCATCAACCTGAAATAATTTGAAGGAAACATATGAAATTTGGTGAGCCATAAACCAATGTCTACTGTTATAACAAATCAGTACCAAAGATATATGATAAAAATTAATAAATAAATTAAAATAACTAGTAAGTTTCTTGGTCCCGGTAAATTTTCAGCTAATTTCAGCAAAACCCAAGTCGCATATCAGTCATGTTCTGGGTTCAAATAATGAAACCTACTCGTAGTTCCAAATTTCTTCCATCTCTCAGTGACTTAATAAGGTATCATGGACTTCAAAAATAAGTGGGTCTCAATAAAACTAAGCAAAAAATAGAAATTCAAGAAGAAAGATACATGAGAAAGGAAACAAAGTGATCAGCGATAACAGGCATAGTTATCCTTACCAAGCTGGTCAAAACTCATAAATAATTTCAACTAAAAAATGGTAATAAAAAGAAGGATCAAAATTCATCACTGATTCAAGCAAAAAAATGGCCACAAAATGAAGAAATAATGTGATGGTACCTCTTGTTCTTTTCTGAGCTCTCGAGCAGGCTTGACCCAAAGGAAGTATGCCAAGGTACAAGCAACTGCCCAAGAAGCCAGGTTACTTCCCCCTCTTAAACCACCCATCGAATTCCCAATGAACGATCTCACATTTCCAAGATTCCTCCTCCAATTGCTCCCCATTTTCACTGAATTTTGCAGAGATTTTTTTGTGGGTTTTCTCAGTGTCCAGAGCCAGAGATAGAAAGGCACCTTGAACAAATGAGAGAGAGAAAGACCATTGACAGATTAGAGAGAGACGGACAGGAAGCCTGAAAACGGGATAAAGAGCGCCTCAGCTAAAAAAATATCTCTCGCGCTACCGCCATCTAATAACTTAAAAAAAGATATAGTAGTCCCGCAGAACCAAAGTTTCTATTTGATATAGCGGTCAAAACATCCGTTCTATGCTGCTATATTTTGGAGGAATTTCGATACATCGACTTACCATATATATATATATATTTATTTTATTTTATTTTTATTTATTTTTTTTATAGTTCGAGATAGAAGTCAAGATATGGCTCCCTACCAATACGACCATCTAGTCATAAGCTTATTCCTAATCCAGAGGTATATGTAATAATTCAAATATTGTCTCTTTTAAAAACATGTGAAGATTTTGGAGCTAAAATTATTCAGATTGATGATCTTGACTACCGTGAAACTTAAAAATAAAATATCTGAACTTTTTTTAGGTCATTCGTGACGGTTTATTTTAATTATTGACAAATTTTGAGATATGTTTTCAGTTGCAAGATTATGAATATAAAGCAAAAATGTGTCTAAAGTGACTTATAATGTGATTTGTATCTTAAATTCTCCAAGGGAGTGCATTTGAATTGGACCTTATTTATTCAAATGCAATATCCAATTAGGAGATTGTTAGGTTTATGTGGCCTTTAAAGGCGTTACGAGTGTTTGTAAAATGAAATGATACACTGGAACATGAACTCACTAGGAGTGTGGTCCCTCGTGGACTATAATAAGCAAACGATGGTCTGCTGATACCGATCTGTGCTTAACGATCTAGGCCAGTCGGTTGAAAAAAACCCATATTACTTGGGCATGAAGAACAAACCGATGAGAGTTTATGGGTTAGCCCTTGATGAGGTCGGATAACATACCCGGATGAGTGAGCCGAGGGATTGTGTGACCCTTATGTGTGATGGTGGCCTACTAAGACAGGGGCCAAAACCTCATCTATGTTCCATCACATGGCATGCATATTGATAAATCGTTCGAAAAAGCCAGATATCCACATTTGGATGAAGCGTATACATGTGCGAGAGATACCCCTATGCGCTATAGAGCTGTGGTGGCATCAGATCGTGGTGATCTTAACTCGTCTCTAGGGGAAGACCTGAAATCCACATACTAGGATTGCTATCCCTTTACTCATCGGCCGGACTTTGGTGACCTTCTAATGAGCCCCTGCTTGGACTGTGAGTCATGGGAAACATTTAGTCGGTCTGATAAAGCGAGTGTGGTCTGTAGTCTACAGTTGAAGGTGGAGTGCCCCATGATTGTTGATTCCTAAACCATATAGATCATTTTCCCATCATATTAATTTAATTGTGTTCATTTTATTATTGAAATGATTTTTGTTTTATTATTTGAATTTTTATGAATCTCTCGATATTTTATTTGTGATTTTTGGACTTATAAAAATACAGTTATTGTTCTTACAAAGTTATAAAAAATCAAATATATATTCTAAATTGTTTTATTTAATTTTAAAAATAATATTTTTTTATAATATTCCATGGGGGGCCCATAATACACATAGGCCCACCATGTGAGATGTGGGTGGGGGCCCACATGTGCCACAAAAGGGTGGAGCGCCCCCCCCCCCCTTCCTCTTTGGATTCTCTTATTTGCTTTTAAGATAAGGTTAGTTTGATTTGTGGCATATAGTCAAATCTTGTAAGGGATATATTGACCATTAGTTTTATCTATTTTGTAGCAAGTTTGTTTTAAAGAGATATGGTCAATTTGAATTGATATGGATATTATCTTATTTATATGTGGTAGTATTTATTTACTTGATATTATTTGACATATCTTTATCGAATATGTGACATGAATCGCACAATTTTATAGAATGCATGATATTTATTTTATTTAAATATATTGATGGAAAAATGGTTTAAAAAATGGGGATAATGGTTTATGCACTTTCTATAATGTTGAAGGCCTATCTATGGAATGGATGGCTCAGATCTCTCACCCCATAAGTCACCCTTGATCGACGGTCTATGCTCAATCTCACAAGAAGAGGCAAGCTAAAGAAAACCCTAAAAAACCATAATCTTATTCAAAGCCTATAAAAATGGATTATCTCTAACCAAAAATCTCTACACTTTATCTCTTATACCTAATTCATATATTTCTCTCTCATATCCCAAAAAGGGGTCTCTCTCACTGAAAGAACCTAAGGGTTTAGGTTATGGAGTTCTTTTCTTCTATCTCTCAAATATGGATTTATGGCTAAGGGTTTTAGAATTCAGCAAAAAGAGAATTCATCTCTCTCAAACTAGGTTGCTAAGAGCATTCACCTAAGGTTTGAGTTTGTAATCAAAAGGAGTTTCATGACTAGGTTGCTAAGAGAATTCATCTAGGGTTTGAATTTGTGATCAAAAGGGGTTTTATGTTTTATTGGTGTGGCTTAGCCGAAATTTGTTAGACCGTTGATCCTGCCCCATCGCATAGTGGTGACTTGGTGTAATAAACCCGATTGAGGTAATCTCTTGCACTCTTCTTTTTGTTACGTGCAATCTTATCTTTTATTCTCAAGCATAGTACATAGTTATTTCAATGGCATCAAGTTGTTAAGATCTTGGTTTTATTGTTATGTTGATTTTATTTTGAAAGTTATCTTA